ATTCCGCATCCCTGTGTACCGTGTATAACCCGGTTTTCGGCTGCCCAGCGTGGACAGCACCAGTTCGGACAGGGAGACGGTGCCAATGCGTCTTGGGTCAGGATTTTGTCTGATTCACAAAGTGTGTCCAAACGATTGCAGTCGTCACCGTTGTATGAGCGTGCAGAGCTATGTGAAAGTTGTGAACTATGTGAGATTCAAACACTGGTTTCCGATCGCTTTATTTGAGACCTGATCTCTCCATTTTAATCCCAGAAATATTGCAGAGCACCGGTTGTTGAAGACTTCTAATTCTCAACAGTCTTTGATTACTAGTGGTCATGTTAAGTAGCCGTACAGCAAGATAGAACCGATTGCTACTGAGAAAACTCGTATTTTCGTCTGATTTCATTTCTACGCCATAGGAAATTCTTCAGCTGAAGAAAAACCCTTCTGGCAGCATCGACGCGCAGTTGTACCTCATCTTTAGCTTGACCGTTAGGCACAGTGGTTGAGCTCAGACATCTAAAGCTTTAGATGGATTCTATCAGCTCGCTGTTTAATTGTCAAGTACCTTCGGGATGAAGTCGAAGTATCGGGAACATTTTGGTTTTGGACGTATTCAACTCTAGACCGATCTTGGAAGCCTGTCAACGCACTTAGCGATTTTTGGAGGTCGGACGTATCCTCACGAAACACGACGATATTATCCGCGAATTCTAAATCGTTGAGTCAGAATTTCGGAGAAATCCAAACTTCCTAGTAGTATTCGATGGAACGACACACTATTCAGCCAACATAGTTGAACAACATTACAGACAATGGATAGCTCTATCGTAATCCAGATCTTAACTCCAGCACGGGTGACTCCGAAAATGTGGATTCGGGCTGAAGTGGTGCAGCAGTAGGATCCCATGAGGTTACTAAGTTTGTCACTAAGGTACTGCACAACACCTGGGCACATTAGCATATTCCGTCATCCTTCGACAACTGCATAAACCACCGCGGGATACGTTTGGTCTCAAACTGTTATAATTCTACAAGGCAGTGCCGGGCTGGGGAAAGATCAACATTGGGAGGTAAATAGGAGTACACAGGACGGAACATCTAGTCTGTAACAGCTGGTTAGTATTTCCACGAACGTTAGTGGTCATCGGCCCAACACTTTCTTTGTTCCTTCGGTAGTTACAATCATAAATCCTGTGATCCACTCCCAGATTTAGTAAGAAACCATCAACCGCATCTTTGAGTGTACACTCGAGAAACAACTTACAAATGCGAGGATTATCTCACGACAACACCATGAAATATGTCACCTTTAGCAGAGACTAATATCACTGGACGACAAACGGGTTTCATGGGTACTTTGATCAAACTTCGAGAGCATGGTAAATGATGGTTCCTGATATGGTTGAATGTTACAACCAGTGGCAATCGCGCATCTACTCCTTATCCTTGCAACTCTAGCCTATTTGGATTCTGTCTTCTCGCTGAGTCTGCTCTCATGTTGGAAGCGGCCCTTCTAACTAGCATGATGACATCCCTCATCAACGAATCTTTTTCTTCAAGGATGCTCCTCGATTCCTGGCGACCAGTGATCACAACACCTGTTTCAAAGACCTCATCCTCAACCGTTCTTGCAAAACGNGTTTTCGTCCCATTGCATTGACGTCTGTAGTTCTAATGTTGACTGAGAAAGCCATCATGAGTCGCTTACAGTCACTTGTCTCCATCTCCCATGATCCTCTTCGGTTTGTGTATAAGCTCAGTTTGAATGGCGTGTCCACTTTGATTCTTTCTATAAGCAAGTCATTGAACAGCTCGGCCAAATCTGTTCATTGCGTTTTTCCTGATTATTCCTGTGCTTTTAATTATCTGTCCCGGTCATCCCTCCTTTTTAAGCTTGAATCGTTTGGCACCCTGAGACAGCTGCTTTAGTGGATTCCTGATTATTTCGCCAAAAGAAGTCAGTGCACAAAGCTGGGCAGGAATACCTCAAGTCCTCTAGTCAATAACTCCAGTGTGCTCCAAGGTGATGTCCTCTGTCCGTATCTTTTTTCTGCTTTCATCAGTGATCTTTCAGTTCCATACCCTGCTCATATCCAAAAGTATGCTGGCGATGTCGTTTTATGTCAGACCGTTTTTTCTTCTTCGGAATTTTCCTCCTTCATTGAAAATCTGTCCCGAATCCAACATTTTTCAAACCAGTCTGGCCTTAATCTTAACACATCCAAATGCTTGAAGTGCCTTTTTAGTTCTTCACGCTCTTCCTTCCCGTCGGACTTTGTAACCATTAATAGTAACCTTTTGTCTAAAGTGACCTCAGCCAACTGCTGTTCCCATGGAACCCTTCTCCACCTCGGCCTTCAAGGTCGTCACTTGAATATTTGCTACTACCACCAAGATCTGCACCCGTGGTGGCTCCACTCAGGATCACGCCCGAAGCTTCCCGTTCACCGCGGCGACACTCCTACTCGTCACAACAATTTCATGCATGAGTCATACGGCTATCGACGATAATCTTCAGAACTATTCAGATCTATATGGGAAAACTTCGGCACCTCTCCTTTCAACTTCGGAAGCTCAGAAAATTTCGCACTCCCCAACAAGTTCTGTTCTTTGTTTATCAATGCGTTCTCCCTGTTTTACTTTATTGTTCCCCTGTAGTGTTTCCTGGTCTATTGAAACAAGACTAAAACTATGCGTCATGGATTGATGATAATAAGCGGTACATCCTGAATTTCTGCCGAATCCTTAATCACAGAACTTATAAATGGTCATAGTCTTGCATGACCTTTGCCAATAAGATTCTAAACGACCTCTCCCATCCTTTGCATTTTGGTTTATTTTCTTGTCGATTCCACTCGATCACTCGTTCCTCTTATCGATATCTACCCTCTCGAATAAACATTTATAAGAACTTCCCTGGCTCGAACCTCAATCAACAAGGAACGAGTTGTAAATCAATTACATCAATCTTTAGTTGAATAAAATCATACTTCTGAGACATTTTTACACAGCACTCTGTTGGATTTGTCTATANTCTATATTCCTTTATTTTCTCCGGTGACAACCAGTGTACAATTTTTAACTGAAATGTAAGCATAATAAGCTTGCAAAAGTTATACAAATACAAATGCAAACAATTCCACTCTTTCGTCTGCTCTATTATCCAAACGAGCAGACTAATGACAGTAAACAAAACCGAAACACAAAGGTGTATGATTGTAAAATCTGTTAACTGAACCCCGTGATCGATGATTGAGGGAACTGAGCAATATATCCTGGGTGCAGCAAACGGCTGAAACTAGTATATCTATCCACGTCTTACCCATACAGTATATTTTTTCTACATTTTATCTGGATAGTGGGCACAGTTCTTCTTCCATTTTCTCCCTCTTCATTCGTTGAACAAATGGGAAGGCAAAGGATAGCAATCGAAAAACGTCATACAATAGGGTCAATAGAGTCAAGAGTTTAA